AGGCACACTGACCTGGGATAGGGTGTCCCAGTGTCCCTTTTTAGAGGTGTTGGAGCGCCCACAGGGAAACTGCTGTGCATTGACAATCAGGGCTATTCTCAGCTGGGTTCCATGCTGATCTTGGCTAGACTGACTTGTGAATATCTGCAGAGTGAGTCAGATGGGGCCGGCCGGGCTATCGTGAGATCATCAGAATGGCTGGGACCTATATTAGAATGCCACTGTATCTAAAAGAGTTTTACCTTTACCAGCTGGTGTTGCTCAGTGGTTGAGCATCAACCCAGAAACCAGTAAGTCACAATTCGATTCTCAGTCAGGGCACATGCCCAGGTTTTTTCAGTCTCGATCCCCAGTAGAGGGTGTGCAGGAGGCAGCTGATCAATGATTCTCTCTCATCACTGATGTTTCTGTTCCTCTCTCCCTCTCCCTTCCTCTCTCTGAAATGAAATCAATAACCATATATTTTTTTTAAAAAAAGAGCTTATTCTCCTCCTTTGAGCAGTGTTGCTATATACCCTGTGCTAAATGCTAAAGCTAGCTAGCGCTCTAGTAAATGAGAGATAACACGTTCCCCTAATTGTTTAAAATGATAGTGTTTCTAAAGATAGCTGTGTTGTCTGATTTAATCAAGAACTCATAGCCTGATTATCTCAGGATCTTGGTCCCTATCCGTGAGCAATTTCTTTATAAAGCACAGGTGCCTGTGACATTGGCTCCCGGGAAGACGAGGAACGTGTGCCTTGCACAGTGTCCTAGTTGGCACAGAAAGGGCTGGGTACTGACCTTTTGGATTAGAGGCTTAGCCTTCTAATTTTTTTTTCTCTCTAAATAAGTGTTTCCAACTCCTTTGGCTGGCTTGTGAGTGGGAGTGATTATTCTCATTCAGAGTGCAGTACTGTCAAAACACATGAGCTCAACTGGCAACAGAAATGACCTCAGGAGACCCTGAACTAGAGCCTCCTCTTCCTTCAGTTCTTCTCTAAAGCCATGAAGTTGACTTTGGCTACACACAGACACACCTGACAGGCTTTGAAATCAAGTCCAAGCCCAGGCCATGCTTCAACCAATCACTCCAGGATCTTCGGAATGGGATCCCGGTGTTTTGTTGTTGTTGTTTTTTTAAGCTTCCCTGGTAACTTCAAAGGCCAGTCTTGTTTGAGGACTACTGCCTTGTGCAGACTCAGAGAACATCACTTAGAGAAAAGCACTCAGAGAACATCGCAAGGGGATGGCTCTTGGCTTTGAAATTGAGGAGAATTAAGTGCAGAGAGGTCAAAGATGGTCAAAAGGCCAGGTAAGGGGGAAAGCAGGATTCAAACCCAGGTTTTCTACTTTCAAAGTCTGTTTTTTATGCCTCATGAGAACTGGAAAGCCCCGAGTCCCTAGTAAGCAATGGCAGAAATAAAACAGACGAAAATGAAACAAAAAGGGCATATCACTGATATATTTAGGGAGAAAGAAAACTAAGCAACCAGAGCATCAAATTGCATCGTTATGACCTCTGGGGAATGCACTTTGGGGAGAAGTGATTATTCTTACAGTTATTTCCTATCAACTGTACATCTGCTGGCAGTTACCTTTAAACAGTAAATTTTGTGCTAATTAAAAGTGAGCCATCTCAGTGCCTGATGTAGAAATTGGAACAAATACTGGACCAAATGGAAAGCAGAGCTATTGGGGGCAATTTGGGCTAAAAGCTAATGCTTTAATAGGATGTTGATAAGGATCTAATGTCCTTTTAATGGATATTTTCAGGCAGGCGGCCTTTCTAGAGAAGGAATCGGGTGTCCCATCTGTGTGTGGCCACACACACTATGCAAGGACAAAGGCTGGGCAGTGTGAGGACAGAGGGAGATGGAGAAAGCCCTGTTCCTGCCAGTTACAGGTAAGCCTCAAGTGAGGAGCACTAGCACAGAGCAGATGTGTTTGCAAGAGCAGATGTGGTCCAGGAGAGGCGAACTCTCTAGGATCGAGCACTAACCAAGGTGCTGAAACAGTCCTCTCAGAAGCTGGCGGGGTCGGGCAGACCCACAGGCAGAACTTAATCCAGGGGATTTGGATCAAGGCGGTGTGCATGGTCACAGTGTTACCAGTAGCCTATGTGTCCAAACTAGAAAAACACTTAACGTGCGGTATGAATGACCCAACAATCATGGTATTATCCTTCCTGCTTTTCAGCAGTCCTTCCTCACCATTGTCAGCTGCTGGTGTTTATTTCTGGCAACAACACAAAGGCAAGAGGCCAAGGGGATTAAAAAAATAAGATCCATTCTGGGCAGGACTGTATTATGGCCTCTGGGATTTGTGTCTTCTCTGACTAATGCCATGTCCTCCCTTGGCTTCCGGGCACTGTGCCCTCTGGATCTCCTCTGTTTCTGACCATCTCTTTAGCTCCAAACCCTTCCTCCCTCCTTCCTTGGCTTTCTCTGACTCCTGGCTTCAGACTCTGTCCCTGAGCCCAAGACTCCCAAATCTCCCACCTTGAGGTTTCTCTGTCTGCCTTCAGTATGGTGTGCCCAGCTCTGGTCACTGGAATGTCTAACCTTAATGCCATCTCACGCTTAATTTATCAAAGAGAAACTCTCTTCCTCTCTTCACACCCCCTTCCGAAAGCAGGGTTCCTCCCAACTTGTCTGTGGTTCTCCTAGGTTTCCTTATCCCAACCCTGGAGTTACACAACCAACAGATGCCTCGCTTTTGCTCCCAAGTAGCAGCCAACAAATCCCAGGGATTCTTCTGCAGTAAAATGCAGCTCTTCCCTTTTCTACAGCCACCACCAAGACTAGGCACCTAACACTCCCCTCTGTGTAAATATTGAGGCCTTCCTTCTACGCTGTCCACTCTGTGGAGCCCCGCCTCTGGTGATGTAATGCTAGATTCCCAACTGTCTGCATACAGAACCTAGAATGGCCTCTTCAAGGACAAATTCCAAGCTCGTTTGTAAAATCATTAACTATTTCTATTTTACCTGTTTTGTTTTTTTGTTTCCCTATTCATTGAGTGAATGTGTACTTATATTTATATAGTTATTAAATTAACACATTGTGGACCAGTAGTTTTATTGTTAGCTTTACTTAGTGGCCAGATAAGTTTCTATTGAACAAGTACAACAAAGTACAAAGTTTTACATAAATATTAAAGGCACGCTTTAAAACTAAATACCCATTGCATTTTGAAATTATTTATTACATGTTCTTACAAGCGAATACCTTTTTAAAGTATGATACTTTGTAAAACACTGTGTACTACGAAGCGAGAATTCTCCTGACCATGTGATAATATGTGTCAGCCCCTTACTGTGGGCCAGGAAGAAATACATAAATATGAACAGGAAATGGGTTTTTGCCATTTTCTTAAAGTATGTAGCCCGGTGGTAGAATGCCAATACTTAGGAGAATTTAGTTAGAATTCAAGTGGAAAATTGCTCCAGTGGAGGCAAATGGAAGTCCTGAGAAAGTCCTGGGGAGAAACTGGGAGCGGTAAGGACTTGAGAGGTCATGAAAACATGCAGGTGTGTTGGCCAAGTACTTTGTAGTTTGGCCTTTACCTTCAGCAAAACACTCCCCTCTGACCAGCTTCGATGACTCACTCTAACTTCCTCCACCCTCCTCCAGCCTCTGGGAGGACTTGCCAGGTCCTCGCTAATTCAAATTCTGCTTTCTTCTCAAGAAATTCAAAGTGAATCTCCCCCAAGCTCCTGGTGCTTTCTTTTTTAATTATTTATTTATTTATTGGTGAGACAGTGAGAGAGAGAGAGAGAGAGAGAGAGAGAGAGAGAGAGAGAGACTTTTTGCACGTATGCATTCATTGGTTGATTCTTGTATGTGTTCCTGATCTGGGATCAACCCACAATCTTGACTTATCAGGGAGTTATCTCCTCTTCTTTCAATGCTGCACAGGATCATTTCTTGACCAGAAGGTGGGCACTGCCTCCTAGGACAAAGGCTCTTAGATTTACATGTGCATTTGAATCATGCTCCAGTGGGATTCAGCAGGTATAGCTCTGACTTAAGAGATCCGTTTTAAACAGGTTCCCAAGTGATTTGTGCACAAAAAGGATCCCGAAGCACTGAGAGAGTTTCAGACCTCTGTGGCCTCCTTCTCCTTCTCCCCGCAGGCTGCCCACAGCCCTCAGTGCCTAGCACAGTGCGGGGCATTGCTGAAGGCTCTGGCTCCAAGGGCCGCATCAGTTACCAATGACAGACACTTGGTGTGCCAAGAAAACCGGCTCAGCCAAGTGGAGTGCCGGCCCTCCCCTGGAGGAGAGGAATTCCTGAGGCGTGAAAAACCTCTCTGCCAGTCCCCAGCAGGGCAGGAGGAAATGACCTTTTCTGTGCTCTGCAAAAAGGCGCGGCCATCACCCTACATGACCTCTCAAAAGAAAAATGCCATCAGAGACTGCAGAAGGCCTGGCAAACACAATAGCTCATAAAAGAAAAAACCCACAGGTAGGTATATAGGTAGGTAGGTAGGTAGGGATTCATGCACCGAAAGCAACCATGCTTTTCCTCCCGAACATCTTAAACTGCAAGAAACAATATTGCTACTGCCCCTCCAATAAGGAGGATCCGTGAAAACGAATAACACACGAAGCTTCGCGAGGCTGCTCTGGGCGCTCCGCTCCCCACGTGCCGCCTCCCCCAGGCCCAGAGGCGATCGCTCGTGTGGGCGGGGCTCGGCCGAGAGGCGGGGGCGGGGTCTGGGCGGCGGAGGCGGGGCCTGGGCGGCGGCGGCGGCGGCGTGCTGACGTCAGCGCGTGCGGACGCCCAACGCGTCGTCCAGCGTGGAGCTGGGCCGGCCCAGGCAGCCGCGGCCGGCATCGCTGCGTGAGCTGCGGGTCGGCGTCCGTTGCCCCCGCCCTCCGCCCTCCGCCCTCCGCCCTCCGCCACGGCCCGGCCCCCGCGGCTCGGCGTCGGCGCGTCATGGTGCCAACGGCGTGACCTGCGCGGCCCCGCGGAGCCTGGGAGCGAGCGCCGCCGGCGAGCGCGGCTCGGGTCACCATGCCTACCCGTGAGTGGCGCGCCGGGCCGGGGCCGGGGCCGGGGCCGGGGCCGGGGCCGGACCGGGGACGGCGGGGGCCGAAAGGCTGCGGCCCGCGGGGGGCGCCCTCCGCGGGGCCCGGGCCGGGGGCGGGGCGGGGCTGGGAGAGCCAGGAAGTGCCCCCGCCACCTGCCCAGTTAGTTTCGCTTCGGCTTCGGCTTCCGGGGGCGGCGCGAGCCCGTTGCACAGATGGGGAAACTGAGGCCGGGCCTTAAGGACGCAGGGCTGCTAAGAGAAGGTGACCAGACGCCCCGCTTTTGGCGGGACAGCCCCGATTGTTAACAGTGTGGCTCGGGACACATTGTTAAAAATCGGGACGTCCGGTCACCTTCTACCAAGAGGCAGGACGCGTGGTCACCTGGTCCTAGACGTCCGGACGTCCAAGGCTAAGCCCTGGCCCAGCCCTCTCCACAGCCAGGTGGAACTGGGTGGACGAATGGGAGGGGCCGCCGCCCCATCGCCTCCCCACTTCCTTGGGGCCCAGGCGCCGCCTGGTGGTGGGATGCTTCGGACCGGGCGGGGGCCCAGGGTCCTGCCCCGCGGGCACCCCAAGCCCTCGCCACACGTTGGGGTGGTTGAGGTAGGTGTTCTTTGGGGGAACCTGTTAGGGTCAGATGCCCCAAATTATGGCAGCGGGTCCACCTGATTGGATTCACCTGGCAGGTCATTAAAAACACCGTTGGGCCGAAACCGGTTTGGCTCAGTGGATAGAGGATCGGCCTGCGGACTGAAGGGTCCCAGGTTTGATTCCGGTCAAGGGCCTTGGTTGCGGGCACATCCCCGTGGGGAGTGTGCAGGAGGCAGCTGGTGGATGTATATCTCTCCCCTCGATGTTTCTAGCTCTCTATCCCTCTTCCTTCCTCTCTGTGAAAAATTAATAAAATATGTTAAAACACACACACACACACACACACACACAAAACACCGTTGGTTGTAGGGGCTCCTCACCTGACACCTGGAATAATGAGATTCCAGAGCTTGGGCCCCGGAATCGCAAAGTCTGAAAATCACTGAGTGGCAGATGCATTTTGGCCGGTACTAGCCGTGACCCATTTGAAAACGACCCCGGGGCCCAGTGTGGTCTGGGATGGAGAGGAAGCAGGGGTAGAACTGGAGTCTTTTCGGGTAGGGCTCCTGGAGTGAGAGTTCTGCTCTGCAGAACCTTTCAAATGCTTGTCGGCTCATGCTCCTTGGCCTTTGTAACCCCCACCTGTCCTCATTTGGGTGGACATACGGGATACCGGATTTCCACGCCGACATCTATGTGTGGTTTGTCTAGTGGTGGGTAAAGAGGAGTTATTATTCCCTGACAGAAAGGCCCGTGTGATTCTGTGGCAAACCTTTAATTAATGCTGATGTAAAGGCAGCTGCAACTCCTCACAGGTGTGTGGGGAAGGTGGGTTTTGTTTTCGTGATACAGTGCTGTGTGGCCTTCACTCTTGTTCTTGGGTTTTATGTTTTTATTCCCCTGGATTGGAGGGTTATCGTCATCGTTGTTGCCACTTTGTTATTTCCAAGTTCATGTCACTCAGTGTGAGAAAGGCCAGCTGTGCTGATCTTTCGTTTTCGGAGGAAGCAAAAGGAAGAGGGTGAATGCCTGTGCTCTGACATGAAGGCTGCCGGTGGGATTCAGTGGTAAACACTGTGAGAACCCTGGGAGATGAAGCACAGTGCTGCTAATTATGTCCTAAGGTTATGTAGCTTCATAGAGTGGATATGGAAAACATGCTTCTTTTATTTTTATTTTTTTAATATATTTTATTATTGAGAGGGATAGAGAGTCAGAAACATCATTGAGAGAGAAACATTGACCAACTGCCTCCTGCACACCCCCAACTGGAGATGTGCCCGCAACCAAGGTAATACCCTTGACCGGAATCGAACCTGGGACCCTTCAGCCTGCAGGCCGATACTCTGTCCACTGAGCCAAACCAGTTAGGGCAACATGTTTCTTTTAAAAGCATGCAGAATGACGCACAGTTAGAATGCAGACTCCATGATCTGATTGGAAGACACGTAAAATGTTATCATTATTCTTAATATGTATTATGGTACAGTTTCTATAATTGCGCAAGAATGGGATACCAATTGCTGGTACCCCTATGAAGCCAATAGTGTTCATCTTTTTCTTTCTGTGGCCAGCACCTCCCAAATTTCTGGGGCAGTGCAGTGGACAGTAGTGAGGTAAGGAATTCTGTGTGTATAATACATTGCCAGCACGTTAAGTGCGTGAGCAGAGGTGGTAAAATGATTACGTTCTTTAGGGATGCTTTTAGGAAGATAACGCTCTCCAAATAAGCTAACTTTTGCCAAAAGGAATTAGGAGCCTCTTTCACAAACCTAACCAGCTCATCCTCAAGGGTTTCGGGAAATAAAGGCGATCTTTTATGTCGAGTGCAGGTGTTGGAGATGATTAGTATGGTCTCCCAGACTGTAATTCTGAAAGTGACATCTGCTCCACGTCAGAGGATTATTCTGCTCTTGCTCTTCGGTTACTTGTGTAGAATATGGATGCTCTCAGTGATGAGTAGAATCCAAAGGAGCACGGAATAATACCCTTGAAGGCTGAGCACTTGCATATCTCGTGAGTGTTAACAGGAGCACGATTGCAGGTAGTTGGGAGAGCTATAGACCAGCGGTTGCCAACCAGTGGTCCGCGGGCCACTGGGGTCCCTGAGGTCTGAAAGGTTGGTGACCGCTGCTCTAGACTCTTCTTCAGAAAGCACTCCCTGCGAGGATGTCTGACAGAAGCTGCTGTGCACAAGAGCCATTAACAGTCACTAAGCATAGATTTCAAGACTGTTCCATGAGCCATTTTCTCAGACCTTAATTTGACACATCATTTCTCTAAAACCTTTTATTTCATTCTCCCCCCTTCAGGGGATCATTAGGAAACATTTTGATCTTTAAGATTTTCAAAGCTTGACTCAGAATTTGAGTGGGAGAAAGGTTAAAGCTTATTAACTCATCCGTTTTATTTTTATTTTGCTTATCAGGGCACTGAGCCTCAGTAAGTTTCAGAAACCTGGCTGAGGTCACAGGTGCAGGAGAAGCAAGACTTGAGCACAAATCTGGGCCTGTAATTCATAACCACAAGGAGCACATATTACTGGCGTGGAGCCTTCTGTGTGTGTTCATCGCCTCTCCCTCTCTCCACCCTCCCTACCCACTATCTGTGTGTGCTGCCAGAGTTATAGCTGAAGAATTTTTTCTCACAGTGACCTTGGCTTAACACTACTGTGGTTACTATCAGATCTCATCTCTTAATCTGCCCCCGCTTACAGGGACCAAGGGCCGCATTTCTGATGATGTGGATGGTGGGAGATAAGTCTGGAGATGGAGATGGGAGCCAGAATTTGAAGGATTTTATATGCCATGCAATGAATTTGACTAATGTTGGGTTTATGTTGTCACAATCACAGTTAAAGGATCTGTTTTTGTTCATCAGTTTATATTCATTACATTCCCAATTGAGTGAGAGCATGTGATATTTATCTTTCTCTGACTGGCTTATTTCGAGTAGCATAATGTTCTCCAGTTCCATCCATGCTGTTGCAAATGGTAAGAATTCCTCCTTTTTTACTGCAGCGTAGTATTCCTTGTGTAGATGTACCACAGTTTTTAATCCACTCATCTGCTGATGGGCACTTAGGCTGTTTCCAAATCTGAGCTATGGTAAATTGTGCTGCTATGAACATAGGGGTGCATATATCCTTTCTGATTGGTGTTTCTTGTTTCTTGGGATACATTCCTAGGAGTAGGATCACTGGATCAATGGGAGTTCCATTTTTAGTTTTTTGAGAAGAGGCCAAGGCAGGAGAGATGGCAGAAGTTTAAGTTGGCACAACCGTTTTTGGGAGTCACTTGGCAGTATTTTATCCAGTGCTCTGATGCTGCTGCTACCCATCCCATTGCCCAGTCATTTCACTTTGGACTCTATCTTTTAGAAATGATGAAAAACGTAGACTACACCAGGTTTCTGCACTGAGTCGTCTAGCACTGTAATATTTATAAACTAGCAAAACCCCAGAAAATTCAGTATCCAATAATGGGGATGTGCTCCACGTTGACTATAGACCATCCTTACAATAAAATATCATGTAACCATTAAAAATTATACTGTGAAGGTGCTGGGATAAGGAGTTATTTTAGTTCCTCTTCCGTAATTTGTTTTTTCCAGATTATCTACAGTTAGCATTTATTCTACAACCAGGTGCTTAAGATTTTTTTTTACAACTTTTAACATAATTTTTGCAAAATTTTTATAATCCTTTCAAAAAACCGAAGTGAAACATTAAACTCTTACCTTGATCTGGCTCTTCGTTTAGCCCATAGAATTTTGGGACTGATCAAACCGTGTGGACTGATTGTGTGGCTTAGGACAGGAGCAGTGAACGTCCAGCCTGCAGGCCATAAAGCCTGTAAAATCATTTAGTCTGGCTCTGCCAAGGCATTCGGGGTGGGTTAATTACATGGTTGACCAAATGTAACAGGCTAATTTTTCGGTTATAATTTTGTATGGCCCGTGAATGATGTTATAAATATCCAAATGGCCCTTGGCAGGAAGGTTCCCCACCCCTGGCTTGGGAGAACAGTGCATTTGCTGTCCTGCCAGAAATTGCAAAATTCTTTGAATGACTTTAAGCAATGGTGGGTGAATTATGTTGTTCCTGGATAGAAAGTAAAATAATGGGGCTTTTTTCTTATCATTGGTATTTTATTCTGAAAGGAGAAAGATTATTTCTGATTATTATTCTAGTAGAGGCTCAGTGTATGATATTCATGCACTCTCTCACAGTTTGGAGCCCTTGGGGGATGTCTAACTAGTGGCTTAGGCCCACTCCCCGCCAGTGTGAGCCCGGCTCAGGGCTTCTGGCTGAGTGGCACTCCTCCATGGGAGTGCACTGACCACCAGGGGGCAGCTCCTGCGTTGAGCATCTGCCCCCTCATGGTCAGTGCACATCATAGCA